CAGTTAAATACAATAAGCTCCCCATCAAGCTTCTATATATTTTACTGTCAATTTTCTCAGTGCCATCCTCTTTGAAGAATTTTTGACCAGTCGCCAATGGTGTCCCAATTGGCTTGCATTCTGACATAGCAAACTTCTTCAACACTTCAGTAGCAAACTTCCTTTGATGGATCAGAATTCCACAGTCCATCTGTACCACTTCAAGTCCTAAGAAATAAGACATTAAGCCTAAGTCGCTCATGTCAAATTTCTTCTTCATCTCTGACTTGAACTGATCTATCATCTTTATGGAGCTTCCAGTGATTAACAAGTCATCCACATACACTGAAACTATCAAGATGTCTTGATTCAATTCCTTCACGTATAGTGTGGCTTCATTTTTACTCTTTTCAAACTCCATTTCAATCAAGCAAGCATCAAGTCTATCATACCAGGACCTAGGTGCTTGTTTAAGCCCGTAAAGAGCTTTATTTAGCTTGTAGACCTTGCTTTCAGAACCAGCAACAACATAACCCTCAGGTTGCTCAACATAAATATCCTCTTGCAAGAAGCCATTTAAGAAAGCAGATTTGACATCCAACTGGCATACCTTCCATCCTTGCTGTGCAGCTAATGATAGAAGCAGTCTGATGGTCTCCATTCTTGCAACAGGAGAGAATGTTTCAAAGTAATCAACACCAGGATTCTGAGCATACCCTTTGACAACTAGTCTGGCTTTGTATTTGGATACAGTGCCATTAGGATTGAGCTTGGTTCTGTAAATCCATCTTACTCCAATTGCTTTCTTTTCAGCGGGTAGGTTGACAAGCTTCCACGTTTCATTCTTTTCAATTGCTGAAATTTCATCCTGCATCGCATGTCTCCAAACTTCTATTTCAAGAGCCTCATCAGTACTAGTCGGCTCATGAAGTGAGAGATTGCATCTTGCATAGACATCATTCAAGGATCTAGTTCCTCTGATTGGAACATGATCAATGCGCTCGGATTCAGCATCTTCGAGTGCATCTTCAGGTTGTGCAGCTTCAAGAACATCATCAAATTGATCATCTTCTTCTATTGCCATCTTTTCCCAATTCCATTTCAAGCCTTCATCTATTCTGACATCTCTACTCACCTCCACTTTCTTGGTTTTCAAACTAAACACCCTGTAACCTTTTGTAATAGAGCTGTAACCAATAAAAATACCAACCACAGCTCTAGCATCAAGCTTGTCTCGCTTTACATCAGGCACATGAGTGTAGCATGGACTGCCAAACACTCTCAAGTGATCTAGTTTGGGTTTGTAACCAGACCAAGCTTCATATGGAGTCTTGTTGTCTAAAGACTTGGTAGAGATTCTGTTGAGTAAATATACTGCGGTGTTGACTGCTTCAGCCCAAAACTGTTTTGGAAGATCTTTTTCAAACATCAAGCATCTGGACATATTCATCACACTTCTATTCTTCCTTTCACTTACACCATTTTGTTGAGGAGTGTAAGGATTGGTTTTCTGATGAACTATGCCATGATCCTTCAGAAAAGATTCAAACTGATGAGAGCAAAACTCTCCACCGTTGTCAGTTCTGAAAACTTTAATCACTTTCCCTGCTTCTTTTTCAACTGCTTTCTTGAAAGCAACAAAGTGATTAAACACTTCAGATTTTTGCTTCAGAAAGTAGCACCAAGTTGTCCTACTATAATCATCAATAAATAATAAAAAATACTTGCTTCCATTTAGTGATTCAACACTCATAGGACCACAAATATCAGAATGAATGAGCTCCAGCTTATCTTTGGCCCTCTTCACTCCATCTTTGTTGAATGAACTCTTGCTGGATTTTCCTTTCTCACAAACACAACACACGCCATCTTCACTAACAACGGAAGGCATGTTTTCAACCATGCTATGCTTGTGCATTTGTGACATAGTTGTGTAGCTACAATGACCCAGCCTACTATGCAGTAATTTTGACTTAGAAACTGCACTAGGATAGGCTACATGATCTCCATTCTTCAATTCTAGAGGAAAGCTTCTATCATGCATCTTAATAGTCATAACTACCACGCCACTCTTGTCACTAATATCACAAATATTATCATGGAAGGCCAACGAGAAACCAGCATCAACCAGTTGCCCCACACTAATCAAATTCTGAGCAATATTAGGCACATAAAGCACGTCTTGAAGAACTTTAGTACCTGAACTAGTTTTGATTGCAGCAGTGCCTCTTCCTTTGACTGTAAGAAATTCACCATTTCCCACTTTCACTCTTGAGTGATAGTTCTCATCAAGGAACTTGAAAATACTCAAGTCAGGAGACATATGGTTTGTGCAACTACTGTCTATCAACCATGAATCAGATTTTGGATGATTCACCAAGCCTCTTTGAACTGTTGAAGCCATGAAAAGGTTCTCTTCCGCCTCTTCTTGTTCTTCAGCATTCTGAGCTTGTTGTTGATCATTTCTGAACTTACAGATTTTCTGAACATGCCCGAACTTTTTGCATTGTTTGCACTGCACACCAGGTCTGACCCAACAATAATCAGCACTGTGGTTTGTTCTTTTGCAGTGAGGGCAAGGAGGATAAGTAGCTCTCTTCCCTCTTGTTTTGCTAGAATTTCCGGGCTGAAATTTTCTGTCTTTCTTTTCATCAAAGGAAACTTGCCTCGGCTGCTTTCCTTTGGATTGAGCAAGCAAGGCTCCTTCAGCAGAGCCTTCATTCCTCATGATTTGCCTGTCTTCAACGGCTTGAAGTGCATCGACTAATTCTGCAAGAGAGAAGGTTGACATGTCTTTACTGTCCTCAAGCGAGCTAATCTTGTGCTCAAACTTTTCTGGAACAGAACACATCACCTTGTCCACAACTCTCTTATCAGTGACATCTTCTCCAAGTAGTCTCATTTGAGTAACAACCTTTAGTACTCGACCAGAAAAATCTTTCACCAGTTCATTATCTCTCATTTTGAGAGTTTCAAGCTGCCTTCTTAGATTGAGAATCTGCATTCCTTTGGCCCTAGCATCTCCTTGGAATTCTTGAGCAAGTTTTTCCCAAATTCTCTTTGCTGTTTTGTTTGTCATGATCCTGACAAACATATCTTCACTCAAAGCTGCATGGAGGTAAGACACCACCTTGAATTTCTTCGAAACAGCATCAGAGTGTTGCTTCATTTGAGCAATTGTGGGATTTGCTCTCAAGGGCTCTGGATCTACATCTGTTTCTACAACATCCCATAAATCATGAGCTCTCAAAAAAGCTTCCATTTTCACAGCCCAAATATTGTAATTTTGGCCTGCAAAAATAGGAGGAGCAATGATGAAACCTTTTGATTCAGCCATCAACACTTTCCCTTTCTTTTCTCAGTTTGTTTTCCTCACTTTCACTCGTGTTTCACTCACCTCACAGCCTCTCAAAGATCACTCAAAGTGCTCTGATACCAACTGTAGGAATTTTGTGTGTTAGACTAAGAGCAAGAATGCAAAGAATAGAGAAAAATGTAAAGAGAAAGAAGAAGGCTTTTGATAATAGCTTGCTGAATTTTTATTTCATCATCTTTCAGCATTTATAGATTCCAAGTCTTACAAGTTTTCAGTAGGAAACAACCATCCACTTGCTAAGCAAGTGGGCAAGTGGTCTTACACTCTTTCTTCCTAGTGGCTAGGTTGTAAGAAAAGATAAGAAGATAAGTAGGGCCTTAATAAAATATCCTAACACAGGATTTTAGATAGACTTTTTGTTCCATTCTTTGAGTCACCATACCACTAACTTCAACAAACAGGAAGCCGACGAGCAGATCGAGAACAGGAGAAGGGAAAAAGAAAAGAAAAAAAAAAAGAGAAAATGTAAAATATTAACGCCACATGAGCTTACAGGTCATTCGTTATTGGAAAACTTGTAAACAACCGGGTAGAAAGGGTAATTGAGTTTTGTTTAATAGTGAAAGGATTGAATGTAGTGATTTAATAGTAGGAGGACTCAATCGACTTTTTCAATATAGTACGAAGATTTATTTGATAGTTTTCCCTAAATATATTTATTTACCTATTAGTAGTCCTTGTGCCAAAATGTGTGACATGGTCTGTCCACACTCTCACCAAATGATCTTTGTACGGGTCCAACCAATTTTCAGTAAGATATTTCATAAGGCCCCAACTTTTCTTCCATTTTGATCTCATATATTTTAATTGCTCCTCATATTGATCGACAGTGGTTGAACTAAATAGCTTCATGCATCCTTTTGAAAAGGATTCTTGGACCTTCTTCTTGTTGCTCAATTTTAAAGCTTTATCTTCTATGTTACGCTTGACATGTACAATGCACAATATATGCTTAGATTCTGGGAAAACTTCACTGAGTGCTTTTATCAAACCTAACTCTCGGTCGGTCACAATCGCTAATGGGGAACAAGGACATATTAGCTTTAACTCATTTAAAACCCAAATGTAGTGCTATGCGCTTTCAGCTCCCATCCACGCAAATGCAACAGAGAATGTCTTCAATGTACTTATGAATCCCACTATTTCCAGAAAAGGCATCTTGTACCTGGTATAATTAATCAAGTATATTACATGTAATGTATATCACTTGCTTGAATGAATAGTTATATATAAGAGTTAATTACCTAAATAGGAGTAGAAGATAGTCAATAATCACAAATAGGACTATATTGTTTTTTTAACTCACTAGTAGGACTATTTATGTCTGTTTGGACAAATATAACTTTGTAACTGTTGGAATGTTTTAATTCATAATGAAATCATGATAAATTATAAAAAAAACATAAAAAATTATACAAAATTAATATTTTTAAAAATCATAAAAAATACGATTTAAAAAATCATAAAAATCATCAAACAATTATACAACAAACATAATAAAAATATTTTTAAACAATAATAAAATTTAAATAAATATATAAATATTTTATAATTTTTTTATTATTTATATTATAAAAAAATATAAATATTTTATTATAATAAAATCACCTACTTTTGGTCAAAGATGGACATTTGTACCCCAACTGTTTTTACGTAATACTCGTACTTACGTAATTAGGAAGCAGAGTTACGTTTTAGAAAGCATCCTTTTAGGAAGGATTTTTTTAGGATGCGTCTTTTTTAAGGAAGATTGATAATAATAGCTCAAATGATTTCGACGCCTGAATCAATGGCTTCCCTGGCGATTCAGAGATCCCCGGTTGATCTCGACACCTGAATCAAACGGAGCATCACCCACCGCTTCTTCTCCCCTCCAATGTCTCTCCAATCTCAAGGATAGATCACTGATTGCAACGACCCCGTGTGCCGCCGGCATAACTCCCGCTCCATCCACCGCAGCAACTCCGGCGTTACTATCCCCTTCACCTGCATCACCTTTTGACTCGTTAGCATCCGACCAAATCTTCTCCGCATTCCTATCACCTGGTTTTGATTCGGGCTGCTTCTCCCCTACCGCTCTCTCGTCCGGATCCACCACATCCCGCATTGAGAAGCTCCAGGAAGGTATCCCTCTTCTTGATTTTCAGCTACGTCCGTAACTGGGTGATTAAATGGAACGATTAATATAATAAATATTATAATGAGTTATAATACAAACTAATTTCTAATTATGATGTTTTCTTTTGGACTGAAATTTGCTGGTCTGGTCTGTTTAAGTGTTGTCTGAATTGGTCTGGTCTGTCAGGTAAAGTTTGGTCTCTGTGTATTTTATAACTACGGAAGTCTGGTCTATTTAAGTCTGGTCTGTTTAAGTCTGATCTAGGACTAAAAACACTCCAAAAGAAAACATCCTTAATCCGTAACTTTATAGCTATACATGTATGTACGTATATTTAGAAGAGGAGCATCCATCATCATCTTTATTAGTAAGGGTATGATGGGGGTTTGTAAATAGAATCACCCTTATCCTTATTCAATACTCCTTCCATCCCAAAATTAACTTCTCACTTTCCTTTTCAGGCAGTTCTGAAATCAATTTCACACTTTAAAACTTTCCTTATTTGGCAAATAATCTACATAAAAAAGTGCCAAAGAGTGTCCAAACAGTGTCAAACAGTGTTTAAACAGTGCACTCTTCAGTAAAGTCAAATTTATTTTCTTAATTGAAGTCAAACTGTGAACTTAATTACGGACGGAGTACCAATTAAGTTTATACAACTAACCCTAAGGTTGCTTATTAGGAAGAGCGTGCATAGGTAATAGGTGCTAGAATTGCTTAACAAACAAAAAAGATACTCGTATTTTAAAACTCGTGCATGAAAGATTTCAAGGGCATTTACGTCCCATCCAAGTCGCATAGCCCATGCATAAGAGGGGTGCGCCGAGTTCGACCGAATCCTCATACACACGAACGAACTGTAGAAAAACTTCCCGCACAGAGACACTCGCAGCCCCGCCGCTGCTAAACCTCCGTTTTGGCTACGCCTCTGTGACCTGGTATGTAATTATGTATCACCTCCGTCGTCCCACCTAAAGGCCGGCTCACTATTTTCCTCTTAATGAATTCTCTTAATTCATTATGCTTTGTTAAATTTATGGTTAGTCAAACCAACTAATTAACCCGCTTGGAACCTTTAAAGAGGTTTTTCAATAGCGTTTGCGTACACTGAGGCGTCCAGAAGCTAGCATGCGCCATATTAGGGCTCGTTCGGTCCAGTTTTTTAAGGAAAAGTTCTCGAAATTTGACTAAATAAGTTTGAAAATTCCAAAACAAGATTGTCATGTTTTTATTCTCAAAATATGAGTAATTATCTATATGGTTTTGAAAGGCGTTTAGCCTTTTTGCACCTGAGGCGCAAAGGCTTAAAGCGTTCGGTAATAGCCTGGAAGGCTTAAGCCGGCCTTATCTTCAGCTAACAAGGCTTACACCTTTATTTTGCTGAGGCGTTAGAAAAGGCCCTGGGGCGCAAGGCGCACATGAGGCGGCATTCGCCTCTTATTTACGCTAATTGGGCTTATTTTTTCAAATAATTGGGGGCCTCAATTTTATTTTCATCCTAAACTGCAAAGTACCTGGGTCGTACGTTTATCACTTAGTCAGCCCTAGGCCCTCTCTTATCCGCTGGTTTTCCACGATATCAACAAACGACTTCAACAAGAGCTGTAGGAGTCGAATTGAAGCAACTTCAGGAGGTGCTTCACTGCTTCGTTTAAGTTTTTCATTTCACTTTTTAGTTATTTAAAGTTCTGTTTTGAACAATTTGAAGTTTTTTCCTCCACCTGCGCAGCCTTATTTTTATCTTTGTCAGTTTTGTCATGTAACTTTATTAATGTATTTATGATTATGAAGCCTACCTTTTAAAGTTTAAAGTTGTCATACGAAACTACTACAAATCATTTAGCTTAGAAATTTAGAGCCCGTTTGGTAGCACCAAAATCGGCTGTTTTGGCTGATTCTGCTGAAATTTATGATATTCTGGCTGGAGTGGCTGTTTTGGCTGATTCTGCTGATTTAAAAAAAAATATTTTTAAAATATATTTTATTAATAAATTAAAGAAAAAAATTATATGTAAAAATAGCTAAAATATTTTTAAAATATATTTTATTAATATATTTTATTAATAAATTATATTGGCTGATTCAGCCAATACAGCCAGAAAAGTAACTTCAACCTTACTTTTTCGGCTTATTACACAATTCAGCGCGCGAAAGTAAAAGTTACGTGTTTGGTGAAAAAGCTGGCTGATAAGCCTGATAAGCCGAAAACAAAGTTCTCCAAACGGGCTCTTAGTTGTTTAATAGTACGTACTTTACTTTGTCAAAAAAAAAACTCCTAGTTCGTATTTTACTAGTTTACATAACCCAAGATTTACTCCTTCCGTCCCTAATAACTTTGCCAAGTTTAACTGGCACGGGGATTAATAAAGGTAAAAACTGTGTTGTTGAGGTTTGTGCAGAGGAGAGAGAATCAACTGGAACCACAAATTCTTTACTTAAAAGGGAAAGTGACAAAGTTAGTGGGACATCCAAAAAAGGAGAGTTGGCAAAATTATAAGGGACAGAGAGAGTATATTTTAATTAGTAATATTATAGTTAAGTTCATTAGTCAATACAGTTTGGTTATACTTTTATTTACTAAAGTCGATTATCAATTATGTGTTTTTATTTTTTATTTTGTTTACTTAAACTCATGTAAACAAATCATTTTATGTTATTTTGACTTGAATAATTTTAGGTTCTTTTTACTTGTGATTTTGTTTAGTTGCGCTATTATTATGAATAATCTGTACTATCTGGTATGTTTTAGGCTAGTAGGAACACATAATTTTGAGGCTTACGCCTCGGGAGGCTATCACCGAACGCCTTGAGGTCCGTTTTCGCCTTTCAAAACCTTGATTACCGCAAAGTTTGGAAAATACTGTCATCTTTAAAACCTGGTACTGTCAAAACATGACATTAATTAGTCCTATTTTAGGAAATAAAAACATGTCACTCCTTTTTTGAAAATTTTTAAACGTGTTTAGTCCTATTTAAGGTGATTTCCCCTTTTTAATAAAGTAGGAGTACTTAATTAACACAAGCCTTAGCTATTCACGTGCTTCATATTACGGAGTATTTTTCACTCTTCAATTCCGTTCATCTTCCGGATTCTTCTCAGCAATTATATACTTCGTATATAGAGCCTCCTCTTCTACGGGCACTGTCTCCTCTAAATCTCTTTTTATTTGCTTCAACTGTTAATATTCCTACGGTACAGTGCCTCCTCCTATGGTACAGAGCCTCATCCACTTCTTCTAATGTTAATATATTCTTCAACGTTTAATATTCTTTCGGAATTCAGTTTTTGTATTTAATGTTAATTTAATATTATTATTTAGTGTTATACGTAGTATATAAATACTACGTATAAAGTATAATATAATACTGTAGTAATAATAATGTTAATACTCTTCAATTTTTAATGTTTTCAGCATATTAATATTTTTTATTTTCCATCTGTTTAGTTTCTGCATATTAGCATGTTTTTTCTGCAGGATTTTTTTGGGTATTCTATGGTTTTATTTTTGAGCGTATTATTTTACTAGGATTATGTCTTCGTTATAATTTATTTTTATACTCCGTATTACATTTGATGGCTTTTGATTGAAAATTTTCTTTATTATCAATTGTGTTTATGAACACACACAAATTATTGATGAATTTAATTTCTTCATTACCAACTTTCTTTGGTAATGATAATGATAATAAGGCTGCTTCTATTCGTTACATTAACATGGGCTCCAAAATTTATTTTGTGATCTGCTACAGACCTACTCTGACAATGGTGTTGGTGTCCCGCACTTCAAATCACTGCAACGTCTCTACTACACCAACAACAGATGTAAGTGATGTCATTGATTTTTACCAAAATACTGATAATGTTGAGTTATTTTTATATTTTCCTTCTTGATTTTGTGGTTAGGAAGATGAACATACCAGTAATTTGAAGAAGGAGCTGGCCAAATTGTTTGGTGTTTCACTTTGCCAAACGTTACTGCCGCTACATACTGCGTTCACTATTGAGCCACAGATTAAGTTGTCCAAGCCAATGTTTGGTGATTACAAGTGGTATTACTATTAATTGAATCACACATATAGTTTCTTATTTGTTACTCCCTCCGTTTCACAATAAAAGTCACAGTTTGACTTTTGCAGTCTCCTTGTCAGACGATTGACCGCGATTTCCTTTTAATATATACATATAAAGTCTATAACAAATTGACTTTTGAATAATACATACTCTGTATTACAAAGAAGCACGTTATATATTTTTTTGGGGATAAAATATTAAGGAGGATGATTTTTCAGTAATACTACCTCCGTCCCACTAAAATTGGGACAGAAGAAGGTGGCACGATTATTAAGAAAAATGAGTTTGTGTGGTTGATATTAAATTGATAAAGTAAGAATAAAGTAAGAATGGTTTAGAGTCACACAATCTTTACCAAATTTAGTATGTGACAATCTTAGTGGGACTTCCCGAAAAGGTAAAATGAGACAATCTTAGTGGGACGGAGGGAGTAAAGTTTAACAAGTTTGACTGTGACTTTAGTTATGAAACGGAGGGAGCATTTTTTCTGATTACAAACTTTTATTAATATTTGGTTTGTTTCAAGACTGCCACAGAAATCTCTGAGTAACTGTGATGTGTAACAGTCATTTCTCATCACAACTGTTTCTGAATGTTGTTGTCAATGATAATTAGTACCAAGTAACTTTTTTTTGCCTGTTAGCAATTCTAATTACATTTGTTTACCTGAAAGCTAGTGTAATGTTAGTTAATAATTTGCTACTAGACTATGATTATTTCAGTGAAATTGCCAACGTTATCTTCGCTGAACTGAAAGGAGAATGTCGCCATTATCAGAACCCTCTAGCTTTGGGAGAGGTTAGTATTGGATAATTCTCTGTTCTTTATAATTCTACATTTCTTGGGCTTATGGTTAAATATTGTGAGTTGGACTTTGGCAGGCCATCAAGAGAAATCTTCCCTTTTCTGAAATCTTAGAGTCATCCTCAGTCGCTGCAAATGGGTTTGTGAATGTTGTTTTGTCAAAGAAATGGATGGCTGAGGTGCTTTGCATACTCCTTTTTTTCATGTTTTTCGCAAGTGTGTCTTGAGCATTGGGATTAAACCTTAAGGCCCCATGGGTGGAAAGTAGATAATAGACACAAGGCTTCTACCCTGAAAAAAGACATATTTTGTTCATCATTTAATGTTTTGTGGCTGCAGAACATTCAAAGGATGCTTGCCAATGGCATTGAAACTTGGGCACCTATGCTTTCAATCAAAAGGGTGCTTGTAGATTTTTCATCTCCCAATATTGCAAAAGAATTGCATGTTGGCCATTTAAGATCCACCATAATTGGTGACACAATAGCTCGTATGCTAGAGTTTTCGAACGTTGAAGTTCTTCGTAGAAATCATGTTGGTGACTGGGGGACACAGGTCATCTTTGGCTATTTATGTAGCTCTTTGTTCATGTTCTTTAAAGTTAATATTGGCAAGTTCTTAAAAGTTATGGAGTAGACTCACCATTAGTTTTTTATTTGCTATGAATGAATTAGATGATTAGATCCATGTACAAATTTCATGCATAAATTTGGTCAATCTTCCGTTTAGTTGGTTTGATGGAGGCTTCTTTCCGTTGCCTTTTCTGCTCTTTTACATGAATGATTTACTGTACCTCGTAGGCTCGTAGTACTACTAATGTTCTTAGTTTCTTACATACATGATTATATGCAATTTTTGAACTTGGAATACAGTTTGATTTGCTAATCTGATCTAATGTCTAATTTGGGATAGATATATTAATACTTTACTTTTCTGATATATACCTTCATTTGAAGGTTAATACAGATTGGGATGCAGCATATACCTTCATTTGAAGGTTAATATAGACTGGGATGCAGTATATGCTAGCTTTGTAATCAATAAAGTCACTGATAAGTTAATTTATATATTGCAGTTTGGTATGTTGATTGAATATCTCTTTGAAATGTATCCAAATATTGAAGATGTTAAAGAAATTGCCATTGGTGATCTTCAGGTCAGTTGAGATTTTTGTCATGAACTACAAATTGTTAAACGTTAGGTGACTTAGGTCTCTTTCCATACTCGCTTTTAATTCAACACCTGCTGGCAAACCTATTGCTTTCTGCTGAAAATATGTTTATAATGCAATATGCAGCATATTGCATTATGAACATATTTTCAGCAGACATGATATACTGTTTTGATGTGTTTTATGTCATTGTAGTTGCAAAAGCATTTCTATGAGTGTTAGCGTTTTCATTTTCTGTGCTAGCATATCCATGTAGACATTACATAGTTCCTTTCCGCAGACATGATACACTGTTTGATGTATTATAGGGGATTGTCAATGCAAAAGTATTTTCAGTGTTAGCGTTCTCATTTTCTATTCTACTATATCCATGTAGACATTACATAGACCTCTAGACTTGGTACCTCTCTTTGTAGCACCCTGCATGTCTTACTACTTCAGATATTTGTAGTACTATTTTCTTTGGCCTTGTATGACTATAGTATATACAATTTTCCACATGAAAAAGATGTACTGTGTACTTAACATGACCTATTTTTCTAGGCATTCTATAAGGCGTCACAACAGAGGTTTGTCGATCCTGAGTTTAAGGAGAGAGCACAAAAGGCAGTGGTTCGACTCCAGGTAACATGTTTAGTTTTTTATTGTAACTTCAAGGGATCTTGGGAGTCTTTCCTGATGTTATTTTGCATCATCTTATGTTTGTATCTGGATAAAGTGATTTCTTTTACTCAGATCTATTCATGTTGGTTTTCTTTAATCACAGGGGGGAGAACCAAAGTACCGCCAGGCATGGACACAGATTTGTAATATCAGCAGGAAGGAGTTTGATATGGTGTATCAACGCCTTGGTGTTCAGCTAGAGGAAAAGGTAGGTATATGGCACTGCATTGCATAAAACTTTGTCATGCTGGCATGCTGCCCTAATTTGTATCCTGTATGAAAGCTTGTCGTATACTTCGTAATAAGCTTTGTGGAAAATTATTGAGTTTAGAAAGGTATATACTTTGTCAATAAATCTTGTTCGGTGGCGATGAAATGCCTAAGAATCATTGAAATATAGAAATTGGGTGCTATGATTACATTTCATAGCACCAAATTGGCATCGGAAGATAAGAAATTAAGAATACAATTATGCTAGCTATATGTCAATGTCCACTCTTTTCTGGCAGGTTCTAAAACTCACTTTGTTGTTGGTTAGGTCATAATGCTCCCTAGTTTATTGCACTAAATTTTGCATATGAATTTTTTTGCATATGATATAATCATGAATATATTTATTTTCAAAAGGAGCCAGAGAGGGTTATGTGGTCGTTTACTTCAGGGACCGTGGGATTAATCGACCAAAATGGTCCATTCACGAACTATAAAAATGTGAATGTATATTTTCTCTGTTACCTTATTTATTTATTTATTTATTTATTTATTTATTTATTTATTTATTTATTTATTTATTTATTTATTTATTTATTTATTTATTTATTTATTTATTTATTTATTTATATATTTATTTATTTATTTATTTATTTATTTATTTATTTATTTATTTATATATTTATTTATTTATTTATTTATTTATTTATTTATTTATTTATTTATTTATTTATTTATTTATTTATTTATTTATTTATTTATTTATTTATTTATTTATTTATTTATTTATTTATTTATTTATTTATTTATTTATTTATTTATTTATTTATTTATTTATTTATTTATTTATTTATTTATTTATTTATTTATTTATTTATTTATTTATTTATTTATTTATTTATTTATTTATTTATTTATTTATTTTATTTATTTGTTGTGAATGTGATATTGTTTTTGAAACTTGTGGACAATCATTCCGTGAGCTTTCAATAAGCCACTAACATTTATTTATCTTGGGGATATTCATAAATAAACAGTCTGGTTTGGGATATTAGCCCTAAGATGGAGTTGAGTCTCTTTTGCCCTTATTTCCTGTAAATGTTGCTTGAAATAAAAATGGGTGCCCTCTCTGTTTTTGTTGTTCCAGCCATTTGAGCCTACCTAGTATTTTAGTGGAATTTACAGAAAAAGGTTAAGAAAGTGTCACCGTTGTTTTTTTAGAATTTAAATGAAAAGGATAATATTTATGTTGACATGCTACTCCATTCTGACAGGGAGAAAGCTTTTACAATCCATATATTCCCCGGATTATAGAAGAATTTACCCAAAAAGGGTTAGTCAAAGAAAGTAAAGGAGCTCTTGTCATTTCCATTGAAGGCCATGGCAATTTTATTGTTGTGAAGAGTGATGGAGGTTACAATTATGCTTCTACTGATCTAGCTGCTCTTTGGTTAGTTGGTCTTCTCTTAATTAATTTATGCATTTATGCTTTCTAGTCATTGGCAGCTAATTCTATTTTCTATAACTGCCCCCTAGATTTCGTTGTTGTTCTTTGTAAGGTCGAAAAGGGCCAATTACAAGCTCAATCTTTTGGGCCTTTTTGGTTTAGGTCTTTGGGGTTTTGGATGGGAGGGAGGGGAGTTGAGTGGTTAAATGAGTTTAATTACTTTAGCAATATATTTAGTTTGTATCAACAAATAAATATTACCTTTGTTATCTCAGTTTAAATATTTCATTCTACTGAGAAACTAACACTTATTCCTGTTATTGTCTCTTTTAAGGTGGGTTTTTGTTGAATTATGTATAGAATATTCAATATAAGTTGATGCTCTGTGTTTTCTTTTTGCTACAATTACTCTATGATCTGTACCAGTTGGGTTTCATTTGGCACACCTATTTATGTTTCATGACTGAATGCTCAATTTAAAAATATTGTGATTGCAAGTTGGTTAAAGAGTTTCTTTAAGATGCTAATATTTCTTGCTCTAGGTATCGCTTGAATGAGGAGAAAGCTGATTGGATTATTTATGTCACAGATTCTTCCCAAGAGTCACATTTCACAAAAGTTTTTAAAGTATGCACTCACTTTTATGGGTGTCGTTGTTGTAAAATTCTTTTATATTTATCTTTTTTTTTTAAATAATGGTGAAGAGTAGTTCAATGATATTTTGAATGTGGATATATTTTTCTAATCTCAAGGATAGTATGTCTATGTGTCTAACTTGTAATTTGTTTGATATCAGGCTGCCAAATATGCAGGCTGGCTCCCATCTGCCGATAATTTGTACCCCAAAGTTACTCATGTTGGTTTTGGCGTATATAAAGGGGACAATGGAAAGCGTATGAAGACTCGTTCGACTGATGTCACTCTATTAGCTGATGTTCTTGATGAGGCCAAGAAGCGTTGTAAAAGTGCACTTATTGAGCGTGGTATGCATAGTAACTGTGGTAATTTACATATAATCATCAATGTAGTTTGCATGCATAGTGTATGTCCACAAAGATAATTTTGTGTGTGTTGGGAAGATACCATGTAAGTTTTAACCCTTAGCCATGTATATATCTCTTTCTTTATTGAACAGGTAAAGCTGTCGAGTGGACTGATGATCAGCTAGATAAAACGGCTGAAGCAGTTGGCTATGCTGCTGTTAAGTAGGCTTTTTTCCCTTCATTATTTTCTTTTACACTAATTAATCGGTTGTTGCAAACTTTGCACTTGCCCTATGTGCAAATCATATTTGCTATTGTGTGAAGCTACTTTGCTTTCTTTCCTGACAGGTATGCTGACCTAAAAGATAACAGAAAGACAGACCATATATATAACTTTGATAAGATGCTTAATGATAAGGTGGGGCAACCTATTTTCTCTCTAAATCATGTCATGCATCACAAAGACATGACTTTGAACTTAATTATTTTGCTTATTCTAAGATTTTTGGTCTCTTCTTTTACCAAACCTTTTCATATAGGTGCTACATTATCAATTGTCTGGACTTGTGACTTCCCAAATATATTCCTTCATATTATTATTATTATTATTATAACTTTTAATAACCAGGGTGATACTGCTGTTTACCTGCTGTATGCGCATGCTCGTATATGTTCAATCATCATTAAATCTGGTAGAGACGTAGAGGAATTGAAGAAGGTATGATGCATATTCACCAGATACTTGTTAACTACTCCGTATGATCTATAATCTATCTTCAGTTCACATCTGTTTCTTCATGCGTTTGATCTAAAATAAGCTGCTTCAGTTTATTAACATTCATCATCATTAAAAGCAAGTATTAATGGTCTGTATTATAGAAATCTGAGAAGAACTTACATACACCCGCGCACAAAAGAAAACATAAACTCCTAGTTACCTGAAAAAACCTAGTGCGGGAATTGAACTAGCTTCTTAAGTACACAGGTTACAAATTCTCCATCTGTCCAACACAAACAAAAAGACATGTTTATAACGCTTTTAAGTCCAAAAGAGTCATTTGTCTGTATTAGTTTTTTTTTTCTATTTGTCCAAATAGACATAAGAGTTATACATTATAAATTTAAACATTGCAAATTAGTGATACCACAGCGTCCAAAAGGCCTGATATTTGATGGCATGTATTCCTTTTTATTGTCTTTCATGCATGGGCTTTTACAGAAGGACACTCTAGTTTTGGATCATACTGATGAACGCGCCTTGGGGCTTCATATACTACGATTTTCGGAGGTATCATTTTTATTTGCGAAATCTTCCAAAATAGGAGTTCAAAAAATGTTAAATTTCAAAATATAAGTGTTAATTTATTCTTTGTATTGGCCTAGTCCAGCCTAGTTCCTTGGCTCCACCCCTTATTCCATCTTAATATTTTGGCATTGTCTGACAGTACTTAATATCGCAATATTAAAGCTATAAGGGTAGTACTTCCCAAGCATGAGAATCATTACTCTTATTTTGAGAAAATAAATATAGTACTTGTATTTGGAAATTCACATTTTCTACGCCGGTATTTTTTGTAATTTTCCCTGCCCGTTTTCCCAACATTGCCCTATTTATGGCAATTTTTGAACTTCTAGCCAGTTTTTTTTTTTTTTGAGAAAAACTTTTTAGCCAGTTAAAGTAATACGTATTACTACATATAATTTAGTCTTCAAGTATTGTGTCAATTCCACAAGTCTAATCCTTCTTTCAATGTGACCATTACTCTCTGCCTTGCTCTTTTTGCCGAATTTCAACTTGAACTAGTATATCCATCCTTCTCCAAGATCTACGGTAAAAATGGAAATCTGTCTCCTAAGATATGATCATGTATCAAGATATGTCAGGTTTCTGTTTCCATTTTTGCCCAATTTCTTTACTGACAAGATTTAACGGAGGACTAAATCGGGAAAAAGCTCAAGGCTCCGTTTGGTCAGAGAATTTTGAAGTGAATGAGAGGAAAGTGGATAATTCATGTGTGTTTGGTTGGAGGAAATTGGAATAAAGGGGAGGAGGGTGGATGACTTCTAAAATCATCCGTTCTCTTGAATTTAAATCCCTCAAATCGGGGTATTTTGGAGGATGGCTTTGCCTAAACCCTTCCTCCCCCAGTCTCCTTGCCTCTTCCCTTCCTTCCCTTCCTTTGAACCAAACAGGGGTAAAAGACAAGGTAGAGATAAGACCCACGTTAAAACTGAAGGACTAAATCTGTTATTATCTCCTCTAATGATTATTGTAATAATAATAAACTTTTCAGACTGTTGAAGAGGCATGCATGGACTTGTTCCCTAATGTTCTATGTCACTACGTCTATAACTTAGCTAACTACTTCTCCAGATTTTACTCGAATTGTCAGGTACAATGCTTTAAATATCATCAAATCTCACTCTCTCCAGCAACTGATAAAAACAATCATTTCTATTGAAGGAAAAGTGTTTGCTTTGTATTATCCTTAACTATATTGCCTTTAGCTAATGTAAATAAAATGGAGCCAGGTGGTTGGGTCGGCACAGGAAGCAAGCAGACTATTGCTTTGTGAAGCAACGGCTGTGGTGATGAGGAAGTGTTTTTTCTTCCTTGGGATTGTTCCTGTTGATCAGCTATGATGTGTCGATGACATTGTTACCAATATATCCTCTTTTTTACTTCATTTTTGCATTGAAAATGTATCCGACTTTGATGGCAGGGCCGTTTGGTTAGTCTCCCACTTCATTTTTTACATTGAAACTTGGAGTGATTTAAACTTTTCTTGTTTTAGGTAAGTTTAAGGTTTAATAAATGTTTGATTATTATAGTTTGATTACTACTTTCATTATGTCTTCCAACTGGTAGATAAAAGTTCTCACTCTTGTGAAGATGGGTTACGGATACCTCTCGATAAAATTGTTTTGTTATGCTTGTAGATTAAATTGTTTGAAGCTTTTCTAAAGAGAAATTTACATGTATTTTGGTAGATTATTAAACTTTTCTCAGTGTAAATGTAAGCATTACTAGATGAGTCCGTATGATTATTACAAATGTAAAAAATGGAGTCATGGACCGAAATGTGTTGCAAACTTGCTATTGGTCGACCATTGAGAGTAGGGATGGATTGGGATGGGACTGGGATGGGCTTCAGGCTTAAGGAGTTCACGTCCAGTACCAACCTGGGTTTGTAGTAGGTCTGGCCGGGCTTTCAGAGATATTTATTTATTTTAGTGGAAATATCCCGAACTGGACGCTCTTGCGTCTAGAATTTCATTAATGTCCCCCTAGGAAATACTTTTCATATTTAACTTTCATGTTTTCAATTATTCTTAAATATTTCAATAATAGCCTATTTCTAAATTTAAAATGAATCGCAGATGAAACTCTCATCCTCTCTCATACTCGTCTCCTCCAACTCTCTTCTCCCTTCTCTTCTGCCATGGTTTTCATCTTCGACTTCTCCTCTGTAGCTTCGCGAAGCATCAATGCCAACTCGCCATAGTAGCCGCAACCTGGGATGCTTACTACCTGCTGCTTCTTTGTCTCATAACATGATAGGCTATCTTGCTCACCGCACCACTCCGAGCTCCAAGCAGATGAAAATATTCTGTCAAAAGGTAATTCATCTGGCCCTCCTTGTTCGTCTGTCATCTCTTAATCGCACTGCCTTGAATCGGAACTCTACTATACATGGCCATTTTGAGCTGAAAATTTCCATTTATTAGGTTTTACTGAAATTGAATTGAATAATAAACTTCCACAAAATCTAATTCAATGTTTCCCCCTAGAATCAAACTAATTTGGTTCATGCACAAATTACAATTCATTCAAGCTCCAGCAACAATTAATCACGGGGATGAAACTAAACTTCTAAATTCACATGCGAAACTGAACTAAATATATAGAATTATAGATATGCTTAATTTTACCAATGTGAGGTGTCTATTTGTGTATATTGCTAAACATCAACCATTGTACTCCTTTGAGAATTAAAACTTTTGGATCCAGATCGTTCTTTACTTTTGGATGGCTTGTGGATAGCTTAAAAGTTTAAATTGTTGTATACTGTCAATATTATCTGTTTGGATATTGGTAACATATATCCAAGTTAGAAACACAGATCTATCACTATTTTTTGGGTCTACTGTTTTGCACATGCATGCAGAGAGTATGTATTCAACCATGTATACTATTGAGACTGAAAATAATACTAAATATGTAGATACTTATGCACTGCTCACAACCACATGGAGCTTTCAGCTCCTATTTTTTTATAGCTCATATGTATTCACTATATATGTTAATTTATGAAGCCAACATTATTTGGCTATATTATCAGTAAGTCAAAATTCATATTGTGGTTTCTATAGTTCCTAGTCAAATAAATGGTATAGTTACCAGAGTTATATGTGAAGCCACTAAAAGTACAAACATAAATTCCAAGAACTTATGCTCTGAATTACTGTGTGTATTCCACAGAAAATTCATATTGTGGTTTCTATATTTCACAGTTCACTACTGGAAAACGTGGGGGTTTCACACTCGAATTTAAAGCCTCAATTTTAACCAATTCTAACCTATGAATGTGACGTACATAATGTCATGCTCAATGATGTGACATTTACCACAACTATATCTGCCATTACATTAGCATGTCATTCAAAACTCGAGGGAGTTATATCCACTGCTTTTTTAGAAGTATAATAAAGTATGAATCATTTGAAGTACATGTATTTAAGCTCCACAGTTTTTCTAACCTGGCTAGATTAATATATAAGTAATTGGGACGTGGTTTTCAAGGAGAAGTTGCTCTCTTAGAACTTTCTATATTCTATATGCATACTACAGGCTCTAATCTCCTTAAAAATTGGTTAACCTTGTTTAGGTAGTTGTATGTGATTGTGACCTCCTTTGAGGATGGAATACATATTTCCACCCAAATGATGATGAAATATTAGAAAAAGTGACTGTACCTACTTAAATTTTACCGATGTATCCTTTTATCCACTATTGCAAACATAATTCATGAGTTCTTACTTTTGTTTCCTTATGTTTCTTTTTGTTTCTTTTTTGTGCTTTTTAATTGTTTCTTTCTGTTGTATCTTGTTTAGTTTTGTTGTATCTTGTTGCTTAATGTTTATCATTTTTCAGCTATTGATTTTTATTGTTTATTTTTATTTATGATTCCATTGTATTTGTACGTAGTAATTTGATATGTGGGTGGGTGTAGGCACACACCATTGGCTGCTATTTTTGCAAATTATAGATGGATTTATTGATATATCTTTTTCTTTAAATGTTCATAGGAAGTGTAGCAGAAGTTTGGTCATTGTAGGCTGAGACATAAAAAACATACTTCTACGGCGCTCAGTTGTCAAAATTGCCTTTTTACAATACGAAGATGCAAGGATAATGAACAAGGACGTTCGATTATCTGTAATTTTCTGCACTGCTTACATGGTTTGGAAGCCTAGGAATGAGTATATTTTTGCTCATAAGGTGATTAATGTTGATAGTATGTTTTGCAGATTAAACTCTTGGTGGAATAAATAAACTTAAAAGGTTTTATTTTCAGATCCTTGAAGTAATCAAAGATAAGACTGGTTTAAGGAAGATTTTTTGTTGTTTCACGTTCTGTTTGAGGACTTGTTGCTAGATATACCATTGCAGACTGTATAGTCCTACTAAAAGGTTAAAAGCAGATGACTTATCAAATGATTCCCTCAAAGAAGGGTCAAGGGGAAGAATTGGTGGTTTGATACCCATGAATTCATTTGTGTAAATAAAGAATTGCTGGTTTGGTACTCATAATCTTTGCAGCAAGTTCTCATCGTATATGAAAGAGCAAGAAAGAGCAAGTGTAAGACTTGATAGCAAGCAGACAGGGGTTGCAGTTAGCCAGTTGCTCTAACCTGAGGGAGATTTCAATGTAATAACACCCAGCCAACACTTAGGATAGTTTGTGCCACTTCACTTTTCTTATTATTCTTTATGTATTAGAAGTGCAATATTTTTGCTGTGGTTTGGCAACAAGCCTGCTACCTACTCAGTTTGAAAAATGTAAAAATTTAAAGAATAGATTGAGTTATATATGTGTTGTGATGCTTTTACATGTTATTTTTGTTGTTTTTTTGTTGCATCATGTTGCTTTTTGTTGCATAATGTTGCTTATTGTTGTTTGTAGGTGATTTTGAGTTTTGTTGTTTATTTAGATTGATGTTTACCATTGCTACGTACTTTTTTGTAGTAAAAATCATATATAATTGTATATTTAATCACGTAAAATGATAATTTAAATCTATGAATATAAACCAACCTCAAGAAACATAAAGGCACAATAAAAAAAAACAAAGTTATCAACAAAAGGAAACAAAAAGAAACCATAGGCAACAAAAACAAACAACAAAATTATATAATAAGTATTTTTAGATTTTGAACAATTTAAAAATGAATTAGATTTTGTAACAATTTTAAAAAAATGAATTATAAGATTTATATTTTTAAACCTTTTCAATGTTTCATCGCTATTGTTTTTCACTTTAACATTTTTTATTTTTGCGTTTTATATTTTTCATGCTATTTTGTTTAATACTTCGTAACCTTTTCTACTTTTTTTTTTAAATAATTAGTTTCTATTTCTATTTTATTTTGATTTTAATTTTTAACTATTTCAAATTTATATACGGAGTAGTATTTATTGAATTTAGATTTTTTTACATTTTATATATTTCAGTTTCTAAAAGAATAAATGTTTCATAGAAGTTTCTAATTGCCTTTCATAATTCTTAATAATTTCAAAAACATTTTATAATTTTTTTATTATTTTTTAAGATTCTATATGTTTTAGAGTTAAACATTATTCTTTCATTTTTTTAGATTTTTATTTATTTATATACTTTCATTTTTGTTTTGTTTTTAATTTAATAAATATTTCAATTATTTATATTTTTGATTTTTTTATACGTACTTTTTATAGAAAATTTGGAGCATATGGAGTCTTCTAAGAGATTAAAATTACAAGAAAACGTTATTTTTCTACAATTTTCTACTCTACGAACTATTTTAAACAATTCTTTTTAGTTTAGAGTTTTTTATTTCCAAATTTTCTATACATTTCTTAACATTTTTTCTGATTTATTTTACAGATTTAAATTCCATTGTTTTAAATTTAAATTGGAAGTTTTCATCTTTGATTTACTATGCATTATATGATTTTATTATTGATTTTATTATTTTAGTATTTTAATACTTTTATTATTTTCTAATTATCTTCACGTTTTTTACATTTTAGTAAATATTTATTTTTTCCTATTTACAAAAAATGAAATGAGTAATTCATGGAGTTTGTATAATTTCAACAAAGATTGTGTATAGAGAAAGCCTACAAAAAAAGAAGAAAACCTACTTACTTACTGCTCTGGCACGCTTCTTTAGAGCACGATTCCAGTAGCTTACTAGTGCTCCGTTAATTGTAGGGAGCTATCTTTGAATTAAAAAGTCCAGTTGGTCTAATTTTGAAAAGAACTCTTAAAACTTAAAAAGGTGATATTAATTTCAAGTTTTAGTCCACTTCCGTAAAATTCCCTTTATTTTATGAACCCGTTTTTACAACAATACCGCTTTTAGCTAGTTCAAGTAATAGGACTTAAAGTTCAAGTATTGTATGAATTTTACATCTCACTCTCGACCTCGGATGTTACTAAATATTATGCCTGGACTCGGGCCGGTTCGGGCCCGGGCCCGGTCGGGCCTCGGGCCAGGAAAGGGAGGCCCGAGCCTGAACCGCCGGTGGCCGGTTCCGGTCCCGGTTCCGAGCCAAACCGGGCCGGGCCGGGCCGGGCCGAACCGGCCCAATAATTTTTTTTTGTTCTCCTATTTAATCCCCTACCCCTCCCCCTCAACCCCAAACCATCCCAAACCACCTCAAATGGCCCAAAATACCTAATCCAACCTAAAACTTAAAAAAATTTCAAAAAAAAAAAAATT